ATTAAAGTAACTTTTTGCAATATGATAGTGGGATTTCGGCACAATTCACTATAATTCTACCATACCTACACCTACTGGTTGCAATGCCTTGAATTTAAAAGCCTTTCAAGTGACCATTCCGATCGCAGATGTTTTCTATGACCCTCCAATCATTGAGGGAGTTCTTACGCCATATGCAGTTTTCGTACCTGGTACAGTTGTTGGTGTTAATTTTGTCATTGATTTATTTGAAATTCAGCAAGTGGTTTTAGACTCTCAGTAAAGAACGGCGTATAATGTTGAATACGTGACCAAAATGTCACGCGATCACGTGTTTTAATAATCCGAAGAAACATTGTCTGTGCACTTTGTGCATTAATATCAGGACTAAATCAAACTTTTTATAGCATGTAAAATTTTTATTATTTTAATATGTATTACTAAGCAAAATGAATAAAAAATCGAATACAAATATCGGAGACTTACTTTATAATATATAATTCTAATGTTTTAAAATAATTTACTTTTTAAAAATTAATATAATTGTTTTAATATATAAAATTATAAAATAGGTAACATTTTTTTTTTTTAAAAAAAAAAAAAAAATAAATTAAAATAATTAAAATAGAACTATATATAGCAAATATTTTTATTATTATTTACGATAAACAATAATTAAATGATTATCAATCATACTAATGCAGGTCTTAATTAAAATTCACGTGATCGTTCCAATACTTTTTTCAAGAATTGAACTAGCCATATTTAGTCCAAAAAAAGCGCGTTTTATCTTGTCGTTTTAAAAAGAGATTTCCGTGTCGGACCAAAAAAAAATTTGATAAATTAATAATTTATTACTTGGCCTTTCGTTTTTTTATTTATTTATACCACAGCTAATTACTTGACAATGGCGCGTATTGAAACTATTCACGAACTTTATAACGCGACTTTATGGGATTTCAAAGCGGAAGGCAATGCTAATATAATATTATCTTATAATGGCGAAAATGATATTTTCGTATGTTATAAAGGTTCTTTGTTCCCTTACTTATTTTATAACAAAATAATTTGAATTAAAGATAAACCTATTTAATTCATGTAGTCAGCTGTAGTACTTCGTTTGCGAAAAGATAACGAAATTAAATTTGACACAGCTGTTGATCCCCAATTCTTTACGACTTCTTACGTAAATTTCGTTATGATGCCTTTACTTGGTAGTAAATACGTTGGTGAATCGGTATAAATTGTCGTATTAATGTATTACAATTTGACTTTTGGATAAACAAATTCATTATATAAAAGTGTTTCGTAGATTTTGTTGGAAGTAAGACCTGAATTTCTTAAGGCTTTATCTAGAGCAATCCTTCCCTTGCGATCCAAAAAACGAATTCAAAATGACATCGATTTCAAGCAGCGATATGGTATGTTAACACCTAATCATACGAGGTTTTCAGTGAATATTAATCCCACAATTTCCGTAGAATTGAAGGTATTTTTTTTATTTTTTTTAATATTGAATGTGAATTCATTCTCTGTTTTAACTAAATATCTTTTTTTTTTTTTGGTATACAGCCCAAATGGGCTTTTTTGCCATCTTCTTCTTTCATAAACTGTGATAATTATGTAAAGCTCCAATCATGTCGTTTCTGCATGCACAAATATCTTAATAAAGATAAAAGGAATCCAACCAGATATTGTCCGTTGGATTTATTTTCTTTAGAAGATAAAAGAGTAAGAAAGGCAATAGAATCGCTAATAAATGATCCTGGAAGTAATTTAAAGTTATTTATACAAGGAACGCAAATTGAAATTGGAAAGGTAAAGCTAGGTAATAAAGTTTGTGATAAATTATATTGTATTTAAATTTCACTATAATTTTGTTCTGATATAGGAAAATTGGCAAACTCGATTATATGAATTTTTCGAAATCGATTGTCCTATGTTGGACGATAGAAAACAGTAAGTCTATAATTTTCTAATGCGTAGTTATATTTAATGACGATTCATAGATAATTTCTTTTTATTTAAATCGCCAGAAAAAGCGATCGTGTAGTTGATATGCTTATTTCATTGTTGATACAAGCCATCATGAAAGAACAAGATTTGTTTATTAAGCTAAAGAGGTTGCAAAAAACTCTAGATGAATTAGATATTGAAGGAATAGATCAAATCTTATTAACTCATCAACCGAAATTATCCGAACCTTCGTTAGAAGAATGGAAATTGATAGTAAACGAATATAAGAAAAGAACGAGTGATGAAAACGGTTGGTATTTTTTTTTTTTCTTTTTATATTTTGTATCATGTATTTAATATTCTATTTAATTAGCATTTGAGATTACGAATATGGATGATAAACAAATTCGCCAGCGGATTTACGAATATTTGATATCTGCTACCTTGAAAGACTGTTCTATAATTTTTGCTTTTCAGAAATCAGATTATAACGGACTTGGAATAAATAATAAGCAAGGTGTTGCCGAATTACAATCTCAATTTTATAATTATAGGTAACTTTTTCCTTGCGTTTTCCATGTTGCGTCTAAATTAATGATTTATATAATGATTTTGACAATTTGATTATTTTGTTTTAAAGTTCAATTTTTCCAGAAAGACTTCAACAAATATCATTAACTGAAACGCAATCAGCCATTTATCATAATTATAATGGTTCCTATAAGCATTATATTTACAAAGTCAATGTTATTGATTTAGATCCAAAACCTTTGGCAAAATTACATTATTATAAAGAATTAGATACAGAAATTGTAAAGAATTACTTAAAATGCACTACAATAAAAAAAAAATGTTCTGAATGAATTAAGATTATTTATTTATTCTAAGTAAATTTTATTTAATTGTATTAATAATGAACTCAATATTATTGAATATATATTTTTATATTTCTTACATTAGTTGTGATTGAATGAAATCATCTGTGTATATTACTTATAATTGTGTGAATATATATTTTTAATAGGTAAATAAATGTGTAATAACAAATCAAATTATTAAAATTCTTTCGTAAATTACGACCTCTTTGATTCACCATTGAGGATAGATACATTTATAAATTCATTTACTATGTTAAAGAAAAAAAAAAAAATGTTATTCAATCTCAATATATACATTTATCTCCATAAGCGTAAGATTGATTACTTTTTAGTTTTCTTTGAAACCTTCCGTGTAGATTTATGACGTTGTTTATCCTGATCTTCTGGTTCTTGTGGTTGATGTTTTATATGGACTACGTTTGCTGAAGTTAGCAAATTAACTGCTGCTTGAATTTGTCGATCATCTATTACCGAACGATCCGATGGAGTTGTAGAGGGTGAAGCTGAAGTTTTTATTTGTTGTGAAATTTGTTTTTGATTTTGTGGTGTTTGTTGTTGAGTAGAATGATGTGAGGTTTGTGTTGGTACTAGTGATTGATTTGTTAGTATTTGCGATGTCGTTTCTGAGGATGATTGTTGTTGTTGAGCAAATTGTTGGTGTTGAAGGCGAAGTTGTTCCTGTAGTTGAATTTTATGTTGCATATGATCTGCTTGAAACTAAACAACGTTTGTGTCATTCGAGTTCTTTTTCTTAATTATTAGATATTGATCATAGGGTGAAAGATTAAAATTATAAAGCAATATCCAAAGAATTTAGTTCCTTACCTGTTGATGATAATAGGAAGCAGCAGTAACAGAAGTAGAATCAGGTGTATATGGAATTCCATGTTGTGGTGGTGGATAATAAGCTAAAACATCTTGCTCGGGATATATATGTTCTGTTTGCTTAAAATTTTTTTTTTTTTTTTGTTTTTTTTTTTATTTGAAAAAATATTGTAAAGTATAAATCAAAATACTCTTATACGAAAAAAAAAAAAAAAAAAGAAAAAAAAAAAAGAAACCGTCATATACAACAAAAAAAAACTTTTATAAAACGCAATATACATCAAAAAGCATTAACGCCTACAGGTTCATCCTTTGGTCTCCTACTTGAGGTTTTAGGTACTTCCTCTCTTGGAACGATATCAATTAAGAAATCGAATTGATCAGATCTACTAACAGCAGATGCAACGTCACTCCGTTGTAAGGTGCGACGTTTGTTTTCTTCAGCATGGATCCATGCTCGCATTGTAATCTCAGATATAAAAATCTCGCAAGCTTTAGAGAATAAGATTGGTGCCTAATTATGATGATATAATATTGATATAAGTAATTAAGTTGAAGTCATTTCTGGTGAAAAAAAAGTCTAACCTCTGCACTAATCATCTAATTTTCGATTCAAATGTATATATGTTTATTAGTAAAAATGAACAATTAATAATGTACTCATTAAAAATATATAATACTTTAAATTTCTCACTTTAACATCCTGATCACTTTTCATGACTTTCTTGATTCTTGCTAGAGGTAGAGGATGGTTTTTAAAGTCACTTTCAAACTGTTCTGCTAACGAAAGTTGTCGACTCCAGAACTAGAGTTTTTTAAAAGTCATTATCAGTAACCCCAATTTTTTTCATATTACTTAAAAAAAAATAATCCTTAATAAAAATTTCTTATTGATCACTTCATATAAAAAATCGTTACTTTCTACGAACCTGCTGCATAAACGCCTGATTTTGTTGTTGCTGTTGCAGTTGTTGTTGCGTTTGAATATGTGTTGAGGTTGCCGGAGTGTTAGAGGTGGGTGCGACATTTGAAGTTGTTGGAAGATTTTGGTCAACAACGGTCTGTACTGTTGGTTCCGTCATAGCAATTATTTTTCTATTTTTCTTTAAAAAAGTTAAAGTTAAAAGGTAAAAATATAATAATATATATAACTGACTTTCGCTTTCGATTTGTTTACTTTTGTGATGAGGACAAAATGCGGTATATTATTAATCAGGTGATAATTGATGATCGACCAATCGCATTGTGCATGAATTAGTTACAAAGGTATGTATTGGTTACAATGAAATTAGTACGTCGTTTTTTTATTTCTGATACCTTCTATTTCGAAAAAAAAATACTTTTTTCACCTTCTTTTTTGGGTTATAACTAATCCAATAAGTAATTTAGAATAAATATTATTGTAATTATTTTATTTTTTTATCTAATATAAATTACTATATATTATTATAATATAAATGCTTTATTAAAAAATAAATTACATTTAGTTTCTTTTTTTTATTATGCTTTTTCAATAATATATTATATAATATTTTAACATCTAGTAATTATATTATATAATAATTACTAGTTAATTAACTTTTTTTTATTATTAAATTAATAGGCAAATTTGTAAATAAATAAAATTCATATTAATTTTTATTTATTTAGTATTATTTATAAATATATTAATTTTATTTATTTAGTATATAAAGTTAAATTAATGATTATTATAATAATATAATATTTTTAATAATTATATATTTAATAATATTAATATTTTTTATATTTAATAATTTATATTAATTATAAAACTTATTAACTAAAGTAAAAAATTAGTAATATTTTTAAAAATTATTATATTAATAAAATTATTAAATAAAATTTAATTTTTTTAAATAAAATTATTATAATTTAATAATTTTTTATAGGATTTATTTATAAATTTATATAATTTAAATTTATAAATATACTATATAAGTAGTGTCTTAATACATTACTTGTTCAAGACTAATATGTTCTAGGATATTATAATCTATTAATTAATATGTTCTAAGATGTTATAATCTATTAAATAATATGTTTTAGAATGTTATAATCTATTAATTAATATGTCCTAGGATATTATAATATACTAATTAATATATTCTAAAATAAGGTCTGTTTCCTTTCTTTGTGACCTGTTAGTTAGTAAATATAGATGAGATACACGTCTATTTAGTTACCTGTCTAGATGTTGAAGTAGTGTAAAAAAGTAATAAGTGATGTAATAAATTTGTGTCTAAATTTGGCCAGCATTATAGCATAATTTCTGGCTGATCTTTGAGACACATAATCTAAAGAATCTAAGTTAGTATCATGGTAGTGATCTGGTAGTGCCTGAAACTCTTCTAAAACTATTATAGAACTGGTAGAAAACTGTTATAAAACTAACAGGAAGCTAAAGATATTCTATTTGTTTGCCAGTTCTAGCTCACTTTTATACTAGTTTGAATGCTGAAACATTATTTAAAGTTCTAACCAAAATTATAAAATAGTAATTAATCAAAATTTACTATACATCATTTTTTTCTAAAATGAATGTCATGAGTAGATACGTATATTGTTAAGAGTGTCATATAATAGTAGTTTCAGAGAGCTCAGTGACAGGTGATTTTTTGCACATATATTATTAATTTATTATACCTAAAGTTTTTGTAATACTTTACGCATATATTATTAAAAGAATTATATGATAGTAATCTCAAAAGGCTTTGTATTAAGTAATACTCCATATACATATTGTTAAGAGAATCATATGATAGTGATTCCAGAGCGTTCAGTGTCAGATGACATTCAGCACAGTATCAATTCAGAAATATTCTATTAGTTCACCTTAAAGCTTCGCATAAGCTGAGCCGCTTGCAAGCCAAATGAGCTAGCTCATTTAGGCTTGGCTTGAGCTACCATAAAACAAGCTGCGAGTCAGACAAGCCAGCTTGTGCCATGGCTTGGCTCGTATCACAGCTCGGCTCATTGGCTTGTATTTTCTTCTTTGAAGAAAATAAATCCAAAGGCAGTTTTTCTTCGAAGAAAGCTGCTCTGATGGCGTTTACTTAAAGAAAAACAGCTCCGGTGATATTTTTTTTAAAAAAAAATGGCATCAGTGATATTTCCTTTAAAGAAAAATGGCCCCAGTGATGTTTTCTTTTAAGAAAAATGGCCCTGGTGATATTTTCTTTGAAGAAAATGAACCCAGTGGCGTTTCCTTAAAAGAAAAATGAACCTGATGACATTTTTCTTTAAAGAAAAACGTATCTAGAGTATTTTCTTTAAAAGAATTTGCTTCCGGAGCATTTTCTTTAAAAGAATTCGCTTTCAAAGCGTTTTCTTTAGAAGAATTCGCTTTCAGAGCGTTTTCTTTGAAGAATTTTGCTTCTGAAGCATTTTCTTTAAAAGAATTCGCTTCCAGAGCGATTTCCTTGAAGGATTTCACTTCTGGAGCGATTTCTTTGAAAGAATTCGCTTCCAAAGTGTTTCTGTAAAGGACTTCGCTTCCAGAGCGTTTTCCTTGAAAGGATTCGTCTCTGTGGTTTTTCCTTTGAAGGAATCGCATCTGGAGGCGTTTCTTTGTCAGAAATTTTGAAGAAAAATGCCTCTGAGGCGATTT